GATGTGTACGAGTTTGAAGCGGCTATATATGAGTTAAGTTTATGGTAAAACTTAATTACCGAGTGATTTTATAGTAAAATTTAATTATCTAACCCATCAGTTATTAAATGAATATAAGAAATAGACCATTTAATTTACAAATAATAAATAAAATAAAGAGAAAGACATCATTACTAAAGAAATAAAAACATAATCAACATCTGCTGGAATTCGAAGCATGTCCTAAATTAGTTTTCCCCTCGATTATAATAAAAAATTGAGGAAATATATGGTAATTTAAAAAAAATAGAACATGATGCGTCCTAGAATTATACCTCGTTCTTTATAGGTGAGGTGAAAGATTTTTCATAAAATGTATTATTTGTAGTAGTGATAGTCATGCTTCAGAGGAGGTAAATCCCAATTAGTGATCGAACTCTATAATTTAATGAGATTTTGACGTATTTGTGTTGCCTTTAATGAAACATTACCTTTACTAGTGATCAACCTCTCATGTAAATTATTTATGTAGTGTTTGAGTCCTGCTCTTTAAGCCTCTTCATGTATCTTGATTGAGAGTCGGTTACCTTCGATACAAGGCTTGGAAAAATTAAAAACCCATATATCACATGTAACACTCTACTTCCCGACTCAACAATTAATTCACATAATTCAGATATAACGTGTAATTCTCTAAGTAGGATGTTAACAAAACAAAACAAAACCATCATTCAAGAGTGAACCATATGTTTTTTAATAAAAAAATTTAATACGCAGTGGAAATTTTAATAAAGTATCTGGCATTAAAAGCCTCACCAACAATTTAAAAATTGAACATGGTTCATCTCCGAAACAAAAGAAAGATATGCAACATAACATAAATAACGAACAAATCATTCCCCTAGTGTTGTTACATATCAGAATGACTCCACTAAAAAACTCGATTGTCAACAACTAAAGAGGCACAACACCGTCTTTAACCACAAGCTTCTATTCAGATACCTAATTGTCTGTACTCTAGAGGAGTACAAATACCACATCAAAAATAAGAGGTGAGAATATATTCAAATAATTAACGGTGCATAAGCAATCAGAGTAGTTCACTACATACAGGCTCTCATAGAAAATTAGTTATGCACCACAATCACAAAATGTTCACAATTCACCCATAACACAATATTATGCATTTTTTATACAATGCAACTCATGACACATCAATGAATCATATGCATGCAGTACCAACTTCAACAAAGGTTCTGTCTTCCGAACCCATGAGCCCCACACTGAGCTTAGGACAATCACAAGTCCCCTCACTAAGACTCATAACCCGCCTCTTTCAACATCAACAATATAGGATACATGAATGAATGCATCATCACAACAATTTAACAATAATTAATGGTATTACATCGAATCATGTAATTCTTGTAAAACCACCACATGGTAGTTCCCACACTGAAACTACATATCTCAACTCAACATGATATCTTTATACGTATGACAATTCAACTCATAAATCACATCAACATCATCACAACAATTGCGTAATTCATTAACCAAACATAAGAACAATTAAATTCATCAACATAGTAGGCATAGAAATAATACTTAAACAATTCACATATCACTATCATGTTATATATCTGAACATTAGCTTCCCAACAGTTTAAACGTCGCGTCATTTGGATACACGGTTAAAAATTTATGACCAAAACAAAATTATTTTTCAACTAGGCTACAACAACAATCGATTTTCACAAATGACAACTAACTGTCATCACTCCCAGACTCAAAAAATCGTGTTTTTAAAGCGTAACAACTGATTGCAATCAATTGTTATTGTGTCATTACTTAAAATCCCATTTTTCAAAGCATGACAACCGATTGACATAAGGAACAACCGATTGCCACAAGTGCAATTTGCCCAAAATTTACACTTGTGAAATCGATTGTCATATGGAACAACCGATTGTCATTGTGTTTTTCCAAAAATCCTAGTTTCACTATTATGTGCCAGTGTCCAATTTCCAATCACTTAGTGTCATACCAGACCCAATTACAGGCTTCTAATTTACTTTGATTCATGATCTATCAACACTATCATACCTAGTTTATTCTATACATCATAAACATATTAATCTTTTTTACGGGTTACTCAATTAGACTCACCTTCTAGGGACAACTCAATTCACTAGGAAACTCAAGAATATCACTCAACCACAAGCACATATCAGTATAATTTAATGTGAAGATTCAACAAGACATCACAACATTTGATTTAACACTTGCAACAAGACATTCATCATTATTTATCATCATTCACATTCATCAAATTCATCAAAATAGAAAAACACACACAAGTTCTAATGGAGGCCAAGAGACACCTCCCCACCCTTTCATGATATAACACTCATAGATGAATAATATTCCTTACATGATTATTCCAACAAAGATGAACAAATCCTTGAACTTTTTCTCCTATGTCCTTTTCATCCTTCTTCTTGCCCCAACCCTTATTTTCCCTTTCTAAGTTTTCACGTGCTTTTTCAACTGACCCTCTAATCTTTTCTCTTTTAAATAATTATATTTCTCTTAATTATATTTTCTCTCTTCTACCCTCAACTCATCTTCACAATTTATCAACATACCCTTACTCTCTCTACACACCTTATTTTCCTTAATATTTTATTATTTTAACATATATTTACTTAATTAAATAATTACTCTTATCATTTAATTATTACAATAACTCTAAATAATTCATACTAATTTCTACACCACCAACTAATTATTTTAATTGACTCAATCCATCAGCAAATCAAAACACACAAAATCACACATGATTTACAAATAATTCGATGAAAATGAATAATTGAAAACGGGGTGTTACATCCCACGCAATTTGAAGAGCTTATGTAGATGATTTCTTTTATGCTGGTTGAGATAGAGACATTGAAGTCATTCTAAAAAGAAGAGTCGACCATAGAAAGTCTTCATGCCGTTATATGACACTGGAGGAGTCCATGCTGATTAGGATTTCTTTCAAACCCTAGCAGAACATCTAAAAAAATCGGGTATCGTGTGAGCACGATATCTCCCTCCCTAGACCTTATTTCGATAATCCGAAAGAAGAGTCGACCATAGAAATATCAGTATTCTAGAAAGAAGAGCCGACCATAGAAAGTCTTCATGCCGGTATCTGACACTGGAGGAGTCTATGCCGATTAGGTTTTCTTTCAAATTCTAGCAGAACATCTCAAAAAATCCGATATCGTGTGAGCACGATATCTCTCTCTCTAGATTTTATTTCGACAATCCAAATTGTAAAAATGTAACATTATATTTCATAAATTTTGTGTCTAAAATTAACTCGTTTCAATTGTTCATTTAGATGTGTTTGAGTGAATTTTAATTAAATAAGAAAAAGATTAAATTCTTTACTTTTCTCATATGTTATTTAATATTATTTAAATTTAACTTAAATAAAATATTTTAAATTTGTATGAGATAAAACCAAAAGCTACTAGTTGATCTTAGATTTGTATCAGATAAAACCAAACATTTACGAGTTTGTTTCATAGCCTAGTGACAAAAAAAATTTATTTTACAATAATGTAGTCAAGCATTTTAATACAAGTTGTGAATAAAACAAGATAGTGATAGAAGTGAAATCAGACATTTCTAAAGATGCTTTAAAGGCTAAAGACACATATATCACAAAATATGTCCCTGAAACATGTAGTAGTGGGTACCTTTTCAATTCAATATAATTGAGATTTCTTTGTCTCCAGCAATATCTATTCTTACTTATCAAAGTACAAAATTAGGAACCGACACACATAATTGCAGCAAGTAGTAGTTAATTAAGCTAAAAGAACAAAACAGATGAAACATAGGATGGAGAGGAAATCTGCCAATTTGATTTCTATGTAAAAAATCAGTGGATATTTGTACGTTCGGACGGCTACAACTATCAACAGTGAAATTGTTATTATTTTATAAGAGAATTTCAAAAAAATTATAAAATATAAAAATGTTATTGAAAAAAAAGAAAAAGAAAAAATATAATAAAAAATAATTGTATAACTTTTAAAGAATCAATATATTTAATAAAATCTATTAAACAGATAATTTGTAAAAAATAATTGTAAACAATAAAAAATAAAAAAGTTTTTTTTAGAGTTAATAGAGTTGTAATAAAATAGTTTATAAAATTTAATAAATGAGACAAATAAATATCTAAAATTAAAATTAGTTAAAAATTAATAGAAAATTATTTTTTCACAATACCCGTGTGTTGATGCTGATTTTTAAATGGTTACATGTATATTTATAGAGTATTGATATATTACTCGTACGTTCGCATGAATACTGATGTGTTATTCATGCATTCGCACGAGTCTTGACGTGTTATGCACATTCATTTGTTACTCGTGCATTTACACAATATTAATGTGGTATCTGTACACTATTGTGTATAAATAACTAATTTATTGATTTTGTTTTACTAAAAACAAAACTTATAAATAATTATACTTCCAATATGTGTAATTTTAAGACTTTATTTATAAATTTATAAATAAAAAATATATTTGTTAAAAAAATAAAATAAAAATATATATAATTGATTAATAGCAATAAAGTCAATATGCTCTGTTCTCACACTCAAAACATTTATTATAAAAACAATATATATAAATTTATATAAACATTTCTTTTAATAAGCATCTTTTTACAAACATGAATATTGCTTCACTCACTTTTGGATAAAATATTTGCCTTCTTACAGAATATAATGGAAAGAAATTGACTAAGAATTAATTTCAAACGACAGACAAAAAACATACACATGATAAGTGATTATCCTATATCACTTAATGAAGATGTTTATGTAATTAGAATCTTAAAAAGCTCACCGAACTCATAAGCCTTAAGCAGCATCTTTGGCAGTAATGTGAGCTAAAATCTTTGTGTTATTTGTGAATGGTAGAAATATCAGACCCTTTTCAAAGTTTAAGCCCATGACAGATAATAAAAAACAAACAGAACCAAACTTAATTTGTAAGTTTATCGACTATATTGGAGCATCAACCTCTCTTAATTCACTGGTAACTCACGATTTTGTCAAGTGTCGAACGATTGAATCCAACACAAATGAGCTTGTTAGCAGCTTTAGGATTGTAAAAATTACACTGTGCCGGTAAAAACAAGTAGAGCAAAATTATAGTTAAATTCAGCTCATTGATTTGTTTTTCTTAAATATTTCATGTTTGCCATTTCCGTGATGAACATCCTGCAAAGATCAAGAAGCACAATAAACTAATACTTAAATAACATAGTGAATGTCTTAATCAACATGTCGTTCAGGAAAATTGCATAATTACAAAGATAGATGAGTAAAGACATTACTCAATAAAAAATTAACAATTTCCTAACCCCTGCAGCTTGAGCTGCCAATGCTGCCACTGCCTCATTATTGTGAAGACAAACCCCATCACATCTTTCACACCGGCATGATGACAAGGAGGTATAACCTGAGTTTAGTTAGGAACATTAAATAACTATACTAAACCTTAAATTGAATGGATTATAATGACAATTATCAATTGCAACTAAGTGATTAGTACTAAAGCAAATCTATTTTTGATACGCTCAGAAATAATTGTCAATGTTGTTAAAAGTAATTCATATTCAAAAGATGTTGTTGCTCAGAAGCAGTTGAGCTTCTGAGATTGTTAGTCAGAAGCTATAAGCTTCTGAGACTGCTTAGATAGAAGCAGTAGTTTGATATATTAAGAAGTTGTTGTTAGTCAGAAGCTGAAGCTTATGAGATTACGTCCAAAAATATGTTCAGCTCAGCTTCTGAGTTTGTTAGCGTAGCTGTTAAGTTTAATATTTCCTAGTTTGTACCTTTTAACTTAGTCATTAAGTTTATCTTTTAAGGCCTACGTGGCAAATTACTTTGTATATAAATAGATTAGTAGTAGCAATCATTTGTATCATTTTTTTTGTAAGCTTTATAGTCGTCATTGTAGTAAATATACCTTTCCTTCATTTATTAACCTTGTGCACCAACAAATTGGTATCAGAGCCTGATTGGATTCATGGGAAATACGAGTAAAACAGTGAGACGTTGTGTGATTGATTTTGGTTCTTAAATTTGTGTTGAATCTTGAACAAAATCTGAACAGAATTACATTTTTTGATTCTGTGGGTTTGAAAAACACTGTGTTTGTGAGATCTGAGTGTTATGTACAAGGTTGAAGATGACCGAAAATGGTAGTCTAAGCACCAAGCTTCCAGTATTTAATGGCAAAAACTAGTATCGTTGGATGATTCAAATGCGTGTGTTGTTTGGTGCTCAGGATGTTCTTGAGTTTGTTATAAATGGTTATGTTCTAGTTGCAGCAGATACGATGGAGGAACAGAAAAATACAGAGAGATACAAGGAAGAAAGATCAGAAGGCGTTGTTCTTCATCCATCAGTGTGTGGATGAGAACGCGTTTGAGAAAATCACTGATTCAACGACTGTAAAGATTGTGTGGGACACACTGAGTAGGTGTTACAGTGGTGACGCATTAGTGAAGAAGGTGAAACTTCAGTCTCTCAGAAGGAAGTATGAGAATCTCAACATGAAGGACAACGAGAAGGTTTCTGAGTACATCTCTAGAGTGATTTTGATCACTAATGAGATGAAAGCTTATGGAGAAACCCTTTCTGAATAAGTAATTATTGAGAAGATATTGAGGTCGTTTACTCCTCAATTTGATTACATTGTTGTAGCAATTGAACATTCTAAAGATTTGGACACCATGGGAATAGAAGAGTTGCAAAGAAGTCTAGAGGCGTAAGAGTTGTGTCTGACTGAAAGAACTTCTGAGAGAGAAGTTGAGCAGACTCTGAAGGCTTCTTTTGTCAAGAAAGACCAAAAGCAGAAGAGACATGGTGGTAGTTCCAAAAGTTAGAAGTCTTCTATTCTGATGAAAAAATACATCAGAAGGGAAATGAGAAATATGACAAGAGAATGGTTCAGTATTACTGTTGTAATAGGTTTGGCCGCTTTGTTAAATATTGTTAGTCAAACAAAGAAGAAGCAAAAATAGTCAGAGGAGATTCAGATGATGAACATGTGCTATTAATGTCTTATGAATCTGATGAGGAACCTGTGAGATTATCATTTTCTGATTCTGGAGGAGAAAAAGATGACTCTGAATATTCTGACTCTAAAGGAGTGTTTGAATATGAGTCAGAATCAGAAGATGACGATGAAGATTTTAAAGATGAGTTAGAATTTGAGGTTTCTGAAGATGAGTCATAGTTAGAAGATAACTCTGAAGCTGAAGACAAGTCAGAATCCGAAGGTGATTATGAGTCTGAAGAAGAATCAGAAGATGAGTCAGAATCTGAAGAAGATTCTGCTTCTGAAGATGAGTCAGAACTTAAAAGTTCTAAAGAAGATCTAGATTCAGAAGATGAATAATCTTCTAGAGACTCTGAAGATGAGTCAGATGGTGAATCTGATTCTGATCCAGATTTTAAAACTGGTGGTGGTCATGATTCTGGAAGGGAAAACTCTGAAGACGTAGGTTATGGAGGACAAGCTTCTAGAGATGATCGTGTTTTTGGTGGTAATCATGACTTTGAAGGTGGACCTTCTGAAGGAATAGCTTCAAAAGGTAGTCCAACCTCCGATGAAGGTCATGATTCTGAAGGTGGAACTTCTAAAGGCAGAGCTTCTGAAGGCTATCCAACTTTTGAAGGTGGTATTTCTGAGGGTAGTGGTTCTGGACGAGGTTCAGAAGTTAACAAAGGTATAGCTTTTGGTGGTAGTCAATCTTCTAAAGAAAGTATAGAAGGAGATACAGTTTCAGAATCAGAAGGAGATTCTGAACAAGTCCAGAGGCCACAAAAAATCATAAAAATACCAAGGAGATTTGCAGAGTTTGACAAGCTGCAAGATATTGAAGGGACTCTGAGAGTTGACAGAATAAACACTTCTAGATATTTTTGTTTGTATCTTGAAAGTCCTATTTCTTGGTGCTCCAAAAAGCAACTGGTGGTTGCGTAGTCGACTTGTGAAGCTCTCAAGAAGAAAGTGTGGCTGAAGGCCATGAAAGAAGAGCTTGATGCTATTTAAATAAACAAGACTTGGGAGTTAACTTAGCTTCCGAAGGAGAAGAAAAACATCAACGTCAGATGGGTTCTCAAGGAGAAATCTGCACTTCTAAATGAAGTATTAGAAGTTGCACACTATAGCAACCAGAAGCAACTTGAAGATGTTCTGACGAAGGATGTCAAGACTGAACACTTTATCCATTTGAGGGATGAAATTGGTGTCGAAGAGTTTTGGTTAGATGAATATGAATTAAGGGATGGTGTTATAAGTAATTCATATTCAAAAGATGTTGTTCATAAGCAGTTGAGCTTCTGAAGTTGTTAGCCAAAAGCTGTAAGCTTTTGAGACTGCTTAGTTAGAAGCAGTAGTCTGATATATTAAGAAGTTATTGTTAGTCAGAAGCAGAAGCTTCTGAGGTTACGTCCAAAAGCATGTTCAGCTCAGCTTCTGAGTTCTGAGTTTGTTAGCGCAGCTGTTAAGTTTAGTATTTCCTAGTTTGTACCTTTTAGCTTAGTCATCAAGTTTATCTTTTAGGACCTATGTGGCAATTTACTTTGTGTATAAATAGATTAGTAGTAGCAATCATTTGTATCATTCCTTTTGTAAGCTTTCTAGCCGTCATTGCAGTAAATATATTCTCTCTTACCTTTCCTTTATTTATTAACCTTGTGCACCAACAAATACCAAATCATTGCATAACCCAGATGCAAGTCTAGTAACACATGGAGAATACTATTATTGTGAACATATGTTGCTACATGAGAGAACAAAATCACTGCATCCAATTTGATATATGCATAGGCATAGCCATCCAAATTGAGATTTGACCTGGTCCTCACATTTCAAAACAGATACAACATTTTATATCATAGATACAATCATAGTCATGCACTTCAAACTTTAATCACATTCAAGGTTTAGTATTACATTACATTAAGTAATGCACACAAACAGATCGATTAGAAACTAATATCAAACATCAATAATTCAGTGACAATATTAAATCATTAAGTTACTATGTTATAACTATCATTGTTCTCCAATATCATGCATATTCTTCACCTTTAAGAAGTCAATAGAAAATTTCTTATCTTTCCTTATTGTCGATGGTATTGTGACTCGTGGCTTCTTCTAGTTTGAATGATCCTTCTCGCACTGCAATAGGTTTTAATTCAAGCGACGCGTTGCCTTCTTTAAACATTTGGATTCTAATTGTAATTTTCCTCATCGTTACTTCAGTTTACTTTAACCAGATTGGTATGAATAGAATCCCTAGCTATCCTCCAAAATGACTATCTAATACTCTAAGTAAGATGATTATTGAATGCAATATAAGTCAAATAGGTTGTCTATTAGAGAAACATAACCATTGGCATATAATTTGACTATCACAAAAACTTTAATGAAAACTAAAATAACAACATCATAATAAGCCATAAAATATGCACTTAATCACATGCCGACTGTCCGTTGTGATTAGTAAATAAAACCAATAAGAGATCCTGACCGTGAATTTCAATCCTCAGACCATGAAACACAACAACTACAACCATTGTGTCATTCATGCTTTTCATCAAACACATGGAGGGCAAGCTGAGACAAGTCTAAATCGGTAAACTGAAACACAAAAGTTATAATCGACTGAGATAGATCATTGTGATTATAACGGTGTGCCCATAGATTATGCATAGATCATTATAACACATACCTATTGTCTTACACGTTTGAGCTCTTGATCCACCTGTATGAACTTCGAACGACATGCTCCACCCCGCAGGACATAAGCGCTTTACCAACATTAGCAGATTAATCTCTTCAAAATAAACACTTAAGAAATCAATTAACAACATCAATATAATTGAATGTAATTAAGAATCTTCTCACCATTCCATAAGTGAGGTTAATGGTGCAAATTGACGAAATTGTAAAATATCTCGATACAGAGCTATATAGACATAAACATGAATGCGCAAAAAGGAACAAACCTTTAGATTTCTCTGTCCTCCCATTTAGACCTCCATATTTAACTTGTTGCTCACATAACTACCAACCAAGTAGGTCCTTGTCAATAAGATCTAAATAATCTCTTTTGTCTACCTTTTTCCAACTCCGCCGAAGCCACATATAGACCATCGTATTTTTCACCAAAGAAATTTTGATCCAATTCAGTTTTTCGTGCATCTTCCACCTTCTGCGTGAGCCAACACAACCAAACCTGAAACAACAAATACTAAATCATAAGAAATCAGGAAAAAAAATAGATGAAACCCTAAAATCACAATCCAACGTATTTGTACGCTGTAAACAGATATGTACACCATTCTTGTTTCGGTGTCATACGAATATACCAAAAGAGGGAGAAGAGGATGGTGATGATGTTGTTACAAAATGTAGATTGAGGAAGAGGAAGAAGAGGGACAAGGTTGAGGAAGAAGAATACCAACCTGAGAAAAAAAGGGAGTGAGAAAGAGAAAGAGGAAGAGGAAAAAGACGACAGAGAGAGAGAGAGTGTGTGTGTGAAGATTCAAATTTTGTATCTATTCGAGACTGTTTTGCATAAAGTGAAAACTTATAATTTGAAAGGTACAATGAGTTAGCTTGTACAAGAGCATTTTGAGATGTGGTGGTAGTTAGAATGTGAAAAACAGGTTCAATAGTTAGTATTTGTGTGAAAAAGATTCAAATTGTCCAAATTTTGCTTAGGTGGAGAAGAATGGAAAAGGGGCAAATGAGGGGTTTCCATTGTATCTTATGTTCTTATATGGTAGATATGGAAGTTTAACATTATACGGCCAGGAGTTTGGCACTATTATTGTAGGTTTTAGAAAGGGGAAATTTTAAATCTGAATCCTATGCTTATATTTATTTATTTATTTTCATATGCTAACAAGTATAATAAGTAATTTAATAAGTGTAATGTGATTTCCCTAATATATATAAAAAATTTTACGGATTTACACTTTGATTTTTTTACGGATTTACACTTTGATTTAAAACTTCTAATTCTAAGGTTTAGTATGTATTATGTATTCAAACTATATAAAATATTGAAGATAATCACCTGTTTACCAGGAATTTTGATAAACAAGTGCTAGTCTTCTAAATCTATTGTTTTGGTTACTAACAGGATCGACAAGATTGATCTTAGGACATGTGCATAGAATTTCTTAAATCTTCTTAATAATAGTTATTTCGACAGAAACTGAAACTTTAAAAATAATGTAAAAATTGTTGATAAAAAATGTAGGAATGTAAATTGACTTCGACAGGAAATGTAAAGATATGAAAATGATATTAAAATAAGTAATTGGGCATTGAATAAAAATGAAATGATTCATACGTACATTTCTCAGACAACTCTTTTCTCAATAACAGTTAGATACTTTGAGAATTTGTGAGTTTTAGTACAATGTGAATCACTAAATCTTGATCCTAAGACCCTTATTTATACTAATTCGACACCAACAGTAACAAACATTCATTTTCTCTAAAGATGGAACGTTCTCATCTGCATGTATTTCGACCCTCTTAGGCTTCCACGCGTCTTCAGGAATGAATAAGGCCAACAAATGGTTAATAGCCTTATTTCAAATCTATCCATGTTAAAGCCTCAATTTGAATTACTTCGTCAAACTTCTTTCCAACTTAGGTCAAAAATATGCTAAGTCCCAGACTACTATCTGTTAAAACAATATTTGGTTCTGCATCTAATATCTAGTTTTAATGATAACAATGCATATATTTTATGTGTAATAATTTTATATTTTAATAGTTTCTTTGAGTGTGCAGATAAAGCATTCTAATTGATTCAGGATTGTTGTCTGAAGAATCATCTAAAATGTATTGGCACCATCAGAACAACTATTGTATTACTTTCTCAAGAAACATCAACAATTCTGATAAAATGTTGAATGTTCGCTAGAAGAGAATATATCTATTTACTCTAGATCAGAAACCAAGATATGCTTCCCAGATAAGCTTTTGCTTTCAACTCAGAATTTGAGATGGGTTTCTAAGGAAAGAAATTTCGGTGTAAGCTTTTGCTTCAAGCTCAAAAATCCAAGATGTACTTCATCAGATAAGCTTTTTCTTCCAGATCAGATATCAAGATTTGTTTGTCATATAATTTGTTGCTTCAATTCTGAAGACAAGGTTTTGATTCTGAAGACTCTAATACATTCAGATACATTACAATGAAACATCTTCTGGAATATACATCTTTTCACATAAAAAAATTTCCATCGAAAGAATAAAGAACAAAGATGTTATCTCTTTTGCAGTCTATTCACTAATTAATATCAAAAGTATCTCATCAAAAGAAAAGTTCATAACTTGCACAAGAAGAATACAATACAACAATTCAACGCCTATTATGCTATTTATGAAGAACATGGTGCATGGTTGAATATTTGGTGTGATGTTGTCTCCCACAATCACACTCTACCGTTGTAGCAGATGGCTGTTGTACCCCAATTTTGTCCCCTAAGATCCCTTCATCATACCATGTTGATTCACTCACAACAAGATCACACTAGCATTCTTGGTTCCCCTCCCTGCATTTAGTTTTTCCCTTTTTGAGGGATTACCAAGCACCTTGACTTATGTTCCTTTTGTGATCATGAATATTTTTTTGTTTTCTTCATTTAACTAATACAATTCAATGTTGGTTTGTCTTGCTTGTTATCCATGTAGGTGAAGGCAGTGAGATTTAACAAGCTACCCCATGGGTTCATGAGTTTATTTCCATGCCTTGTTCAATATAGCTTGAGAAGTTCAAACCTCGCCATTGGATTGGTTTTGGGAGAATTGACATGGCAAGGTTGCTTTGGTTCATCACATTTCAAGTTTATTAGATTTGACTTAAAAGTACAAGGGGTTGATTGGAGAAATTGTCATGTTTGGACAAGGCCTTGTTCCTATTGGTCACAAGAGCATATTTCTATCAAATTTCAAGATATAAAAGTGATTTTGGTGGCTATAAGTCCTCATTATCATCCTCATCAACTTCTATTCACAAAGCAAGAATATTGGTACAAGAAGTTTGTTCAAACTTGTCAAAGTTCCTCAAAGCATTTTCTTGATCTAAGAGCTAGGGTTTTGAACTTCAAAGGAGTACATCTTGCTCACCTTTTGGTATTTTTGAGTGATTCCAAAGATATCCTCCTCTTCAAAGGTTTATCAATAAATCACTTCAAAAGTTCCAAGGAGTTTTCATGTCGAAGGAACTTGGTGAAGAAGAAAGATTATAAGTCATCCAGATGAATCCATAATTTTACATGAGTGACTTCAAATGGTCCTAACTTGGTCAATTTTTATCACCTTGAGTCCACTCTTTTTCCATAATGATCTTGAAGATGTTAACTTTATGCCTTCTTTTATGTGCAAAGTGGAAAAATGGATGGAAGTTGCCTTAAAGATGCAAAAGATTATAGGTCATTTCATGATTTTTTGCCAACTTCAACAAGTCATAAATTGCTCAAATTTTGGATATTTTGAATGATTCAAGTTTCAAAGTTTCATTCAAGAGGTCTACTTCATGCCATCTTTTTTGTTCAAGAGCAAATTCCAAGTGGAAGGCAGTGTTTGGATGTAAGACATTATAGGTCATTTTTGAAGAAGAATGTGAAATATTTCTAATTATGGAAAGTCAACCCTTTTTCTTCAACTTTGACTCAATGCAAATTTCATCTCAAGCATCCATTTAACTTCATTCTTTTTCCACTGCAAAGCTTGTAACTTCATCTTTCTAAAGCATCAAGAATCATGCCCTAAGACCCCTTGAGTTGAAAATGCCATTGGTCAGAAGTTGGCACTTTGAAATTGAATTTCTCACCAAGTCAGAATTTTGAAATCCATAATATGGCCTCTAATCACAATTTTTCCACACGTTTTTCCTCTAAACATGTTTAGTGAAGTTCCATATTTGTTTAGCGCATCAAAACGCAAGAATTGGATGAGTTTTGATGAAGTTTGAATCACACTTCACTCGTGCATCAGGTGTGCACGATTTCCCTCCAAAACACATCATGCACTCTTCCTTTTGATCCCATTCTCTTCTCCTATAAATACATGAACTATCCATTCAATTTCCCAATCTTGGATAGCCAGAATCACCCTGCCAAACTTGCTCCATAACTCAATTTTCTGTAACTTCAAAATCTATTCTCGACCCTTTTTCAATCCAATTTTTCCATCAATTCACCTTTCTTGATCTTCTCTGAACCTAACCATATAATTACATTCAAGAATCGTGCCCTATACTGCTCCATAGAAGTCCAGTTTCAGAGTTCTGCAACTCAACTTCAATAGGTAGATTCCTTCATCAATTCTTCAAAACTCTGATATCATTGTGTTGCTCTCATTGCCCTGGTTCTAATCGCAACACTTACATTTTACTGGAAACACGTTTTGACCATGAAATTTCAAATCCCTTTTCAATACTTTCCTTCCAAATTGCTTGAGCTACAGTTTATATAAATTTGGCGCGAGGGTGTGGTTGTCTTCGTCTTGAAGAGACGAAGCGAATGGCATAGGCCTGAGGTTCTGATTTTACAGTTTGAGATACCTGTAATTC